TTATTGGAATTTCTGAGAAAAGGCAAAGTAGGCAGGATAAATAGTTTAGCATTGGAGGGTCTGAATAACTTCAGCAGGCTTCAGGACACAGGAGTGGTCTCTAGTTGTCTGGTACTTGCCCTGGGTTGTTTTCCAGCAGGGGAAATATTAGCTAGTGCATGAGATTTAGATAGGGAGATGGCTGGGGGGCAGGGGGTACAAACTCTAAATTGATTGGTTTCTATATGAAAAATGTGTTCCTGGCCACGCCTTTTGCTATCCCTAAGAACTGGCCATCCCTGGGAAGGGTGTCTTTCTCTGAGTCTGTAAGACTCCCAAACATCAAAGTACCAAAAATACAGAAAATAAGAAAATACAGTTAATATAATTGGCCCTGTGATGAATAGAAGCCAAAGAGACAAAGAGAAGTTAAGAAAACACAAAACAGTAGAACTTTTTTTTCGTGGGGATCCCAGTCAACATCACTGCTGCAAAATCAAGCAACAATCAGAGAAGCCTTATTGAATCTGCTATCTCAGCTTCCCCTCTTGGGTCTTTCAGATGCTAATAAAAACATTAGGTTAATTAACAAGAAAATGAGGAGAGGCAGAAGGGAGAGTCAAGGGAACCATCCCAGCAAGGTGGAAAATTGTAAATGGTTACTAAGAAATAAGATGAATAAAGGAAACATTGATAGGATCAAAATAAAGAAGAAAAACAAAGGGGAAAGTCAAAGGACTCACCTCAGCAGGGTGACAATATTTAGATAGTTATTAAATGGAATAAATAAAATGGACATTGATGGAGTTGAAACAAAGGTGTTAGTAATACAGCACTATGGAAGGTTGGGTGGACCAAAGGGACCCACTGTTTGTTCCCTTACATTAAAAGGCCCCAAATAAGTCCACTCTATTCACTCCAGTGTAGAGGAAAATAAAAATCCAGAGGGCAAAGACTGCAATGAGAAATCTGACCAGAAACTGTCCAGGGCAGTAGTCAGGCAGATTCATCTTTGTCATGACAAAAGAACCAGGGTCCCTTGACTCAGCCTCTCACTAGGGTCCCAAAGCCCTTTGCACATGAAAGGGTAAAATGGTCAGGGAGTGGAGAAGAAAAGTTTCTGGAACTCCCTGACATGGGTGCCTCATGCCCTGTGGTACCCAAACTTGTTAGTGAAGCCCTAAAGGGGGCTTCAATTAGATTGACAGAATATCGAAATGCAAGGTTAATAGGATTAAGGTGGAGGTTTGGATGAAAATTGGGATGTTTTAAACAGGCTATATAAAGAAGTTGTGTCTCCTTTACCAGAATGTTCTATGAGAATGGACAGTATGTCTGACTGGGGAACATCTCTCTTACCTAATATTGTAAAACCAAAACCTGTTGATGATGTCCTAATGCAGGTTACAGTCAGGAATACAAAGGCTGATGGATTAAGGTGAAAGTCTGGAGGAAGACTGGCATGGCTGAAGTGGTCTTATCTCCTTTACCTGAATGTGTCATGAGGATGGACGTTTTATCTGACTAGGGAGCTGGTTCTGTAAAACAAGAGGCATGTAAATCTATCCTTTTAGCAATATTAATTGGACAAGCTAAAAGGGAATGGCTAAGATTGCCCAAGTCCACACAGCAGAGAAGAGAAGCTGGAGTGCTGGTGCGGACAAATTCCGTGTGATAGTTCTACATGGAGCATAGATTGGGGCTCATGGCAAAAGCCTGCAAGCGCTTCCCAAGGACAATTATTGGGATGATGGAATAGAGAATTTCTATTTGAGGCAATTAGCAGGCTAACATCAGACATTAACTGAAACTGCCCTTATGATTTCAGGACAAAAAATAACCTTAATATCTGAAATACCCATGATGTCTTAGGTGATGTCAGAAAAATGCTCTAATGGGGAGAGCAGTGCCCAGACGAGCTCCATAATTAAATAGAAATGGTTTATACAGGATTATGCTACACGGGGAATGCAAAAAGGAGATTCTCACAAGTAAAGAGCCCCCTTTTTCCCAGTACTGACTTTGGAACTGCGCGAGGAGCTGTTGGATTCTATCATTACTTGGACAGTGCCCTATAAACAGCTCTCGACTGACCAACAAAGAGCTGCTTGGTTCATGGATGGCAGTTCCATGGCGAATGGCCAATATCCGGTTTGGAAGACTACCACTCCAATTGAAGAAGTAAAAACAAATCGTTTGGTGGGATGAATTACAAGCTGTTTTCCCAGCAGTGATGGAAGAATTGGACAATAATAAAAGCCTCTATGTTTTGGTTTTTATCTGACTCATGAATGATGGCCAATGGCCTGCCGATATTGACAGGCAGAGGGCAATAGAAATCTGATCTATTAAAGGGATGTCCATATGGGGCAGAGTCCTATAGAAATCACTATGGGAATTTGAGGAGTACATTGAAGTAGGACAGGTTGATGCCCATCAGAAGAACCCCCTTCCAGGTTTGGACAGTGACCAATAACAAGTGCATATTACAGTGTATTAACTTGAAGAGGGCACCTGGGTCCATGAAACAGATAGACATTTGGGGACCAAAGCAGCACAGAGGGCTGAATCTGGACATACGGCTTTTGCACCCTCTGCGGCTCAAAATGCCAACAAGAACTGTTCTAGAAGAAACAGAGGCTGTAGATGGCAATGGGGGAGATTCCTCAGGGGAAGACTTCACGCATAGCTGGCAAGTGGATTACCCTGAACGAATGCCAGTAGCCTAGTGGGGCTACACATGGCTCTGCACAGAATAGACACTGACTCTGGACTGGGCTTTGCTTACCTGGCGGTAGATGCCAATGACCAGCGTGCTATAAAAGAACTGAAACAGAAGATATTGCACCAGTCTGGGTCACCAAATCACATTTTTTCAGACCAAGGGACATACTTTACAACTCATGATGTCAAACAATGAGTGAGCAGAGAGAGATTCTCCTGAGAATAACAGTTTCATAGAGAACTGGACTAGGCAGTGGAAACATGGGTTGTTTAGAACAGGGGGAGATGTAGACAGGAAGGGCTGGTTTACATGTCTTCATGAGTGTGTGTTCACACTCAACATAAGAGGGGCTATGGCAGTGCTGTCCCCACTAGACAGATCCCTCTGTCCCTCTGGTGGATCTGGGGAAGAGGGGGTGGGGACAGGCTGCTAGTATGACTGTGCAATTTTCCCATGGGAGGAAGATAATGACATGGTTCTTCCCAAGGGGAGAAAACACTAGTATGATAACTGTACTTTTTTTTCCTTCCCCACATATCTCAACTTTCTCTTTCCTATCTGATGCCCTGTGGTCACAGGACTGGGGCATAACTACAAGAGCCCGAAATAGGGATGATTCCTAAGCAAGAAACTGTAACTATAGATTTAAACCCTTATGTCAGAATTCCTAAAGGCCTGAAAGGGTGGGCTGTGCCTTCACTCCATTTGGTAAAACCGAGGTTAACACTGAATGCAGCTATTGCTTGGCGGTAAAAATAGCCCACTCGTTCTGTACCTAAGTAACTCTATGTATCGGAATAGAAGTGAACTGAAGGGGAAGTAATTACTAGACTAGTATTATTGCCTGAAATCTAGACCAGCACAGTGGCTGAATCTAAAGCTCCTCTCAGAGGTGGAAAAATTTAGGTATAAATAAATGGAGAGAAGGAGGAATAGTAGTTGAGGGTAAAGGAATGAATCAATGGGTTATGTAATAGATGAAATCCAATTTATATTACAGTCTCAAGAGGGGCTCAGAGCAAGGGAATAGGGGATGCTAGAGAAGTTGAAACCATGTATTGCTGAGACCACGGCTGTCTTTGGAAGCTGACAAGATCAAATGGAAGCCTGCAAATCTGACTGGTCTCACCCTGGGAGACATTTTCATATGTCTGACGATATGAAATGATGATAGACTGGACTAATTATTACAGACTGAATGTGACTCTAGTAATGTGCCAGTATCTTTTGACTTTTATGATCCTTTTGCTGTAAGAAATTCATGGTCAAAGACAAAATATATATTTGGTCTTTGTCCCAGGTTCCTGGCACAGAGTTCCTAAAACCCTTGGAATTTCCTGAGTGGTAAGAGTGTCTTTTGCTCTTCATAACATGCTCCTTTCAATCACACCTGAGTTTATGCTACTGAGGTGACTTAGTGTGGAACCCCTAGACAGCCTCAGGAAGGGCTGGTCACCAGAAAGACCAAGTGATTAGAGGGCTGGAACTTTCAGCCTCATTCACCAACCTCCAGGAAGGGGAGGGAGGACTGGATATTAAACTCTATTAAAGCTCTTGAACTGTAAGATTCAGAGAGCTTCTGCAAGGACATCAAGGTGCTGGGAGGGTGGTGCCCCCACAGAAGGCATGGAAACTCCACACCCCCCCAGCCCATACCTTGCTCCACACATCTCTTCCCTTTGGCTTTTCCTGAGTTGTGTCATTTACAACAAGCCAGTAATAGTAAGTAATGTACTTTCTTAAGTTCTATGAGTCATTCTAGCAAATTATCTAACCTGAGGGGTGGTTGTGGGCAATCCTGAATTTGTAGTCAAGTTAAAAAGAAGTGCAGGTAATCTGGGGCCCTGGTACTTCCAACTGGTGTCTGAAGGGAGGGCAGTCTTGTGAGACTGAACCCTTAACCTGTGGGTCCTGAACCAATTCTAGAAGCTAGCGTAAGAATTGAATTGAATTGTTGGATGCCCAGTTGGTGTCTGGAGAATTGGAGAACTGGTGGAAAACATCCCAGACAAACCTTTCCTAATGAACAAGAATTTTCATGATGGAAAAGAGTAAAATAAACACATTATTGAAATATGAAGTTAGTATAACTTGCACACTGAATAGGCACCTTAAATTCTCAAATTTGCTATTATCCTGCAGCAAATGATTAAATGCAAATATCTGTTAAGTGAACAACACTGAATTTCTCCCAACTCAACCCACAAATGCAAGTTTCCTTGCATATTTCCTGATTTCTTCTCCAAATTGAGCCTCAACCGTATCTCTAGTTTCTGGTTTGTACACTATGGCTCACCTCCTATGTCTTCATCTTCATTGGCTGGGCCTTCTGCACCATCCACATTTTCTGTTTCATGAGGTTTGGTTAAATCGTAGTCATTCAAAAGCACTGAACCTTCTAGGAGATAAAAAGAATTTTAATGATACAGTCAATTTTAAAGGATTTTTATAAACATGTATTAAGACTCCCATTTCAGCTTCACCCAATCCCTTAGTGATGGATGATATCCCTTTTACATACCCCAAGTAGGCTCTATGTGGAACCTCTTGAGGTTTAGAAATATGCCCAGGGTTCATGTGCTTTTCCATTAGACATAATTTTCTTGAATATTTCTTTCACCTGAGTTAAAATGCACTTAAGTTTCTTCTGCATAGAAATTCTCTCTCCTTCGGTATACCTCACAATATTCAGTAGGATGCCATTGCTAGTTATAAGCAAGAAATATTAATATAATATATAATTATACCTATTAATATAATTATAATATACAGCATAATTAATATAAATATTATTAATATTAATATTAATGTATAGCGATAACAAATAAAGTCTGAAACAAAGTTTCAAATAAAGTCTGAAAATACTGGCATAACTCAATTTGGGAAAGATGCTTTCCTGAGAGAAAGCCTGTAAGCTTCTGTATACCAAACCCTATTTTCCCTTTCTGTTCACATAATGAATGTAATTCTGTGGAAAACATATTGGCCCCTAAGTTCCTTTACTTCTTCAAACATTTACTAAATGTTGACAAGGCTACAGATAGGAATGTCATAATTCCGTAAGTCTTCAAAGAGCTTATACTTCGCGGATGTCAATAAGACAAGCCCACAACTATAATGTGAGACTTAGACAAGAGATAATACAAGTCTGTAATGTAGACTTGGACAAGAGATTAAGGGAAATACAAAGCGTATGCAAGTAAAAGGCAGTAGACATAACAAAAGCATGGTTAAGTAAAACAGCAAACATTAAAAATGGAGTTTAGCAAAAATATAATTTTTATAATAAATATTGATAATATTAGAAGGAAGGAAGAAGGCACAATGTAGCTGGAATTATTTCATATCTAAACATGAGAGCTTAACAAAAAGATGATAACAAAAGAAATGAACAGAAAAGATACCCACTTCCTACCAAACTCCTCTCCAACATTCAATAAAATATTTACTGAGAACCTATTATATGCAACAAGTAGTCAAAGACACAGAATCCTGTGGCGCTAAGGAGGGGCTGAAGTAGGAGAGGTGACTAGAAACTCTAGTGGATCCTTTTAGCTGCAGGCAGGACTGAACACATGAAGCAGGACTTTTACTGGAATGTAGGAGTGAAATGGAAATAGATCTCATAAAATCCATGATTAAGAGGTCCTGAAAATGTGGTCATCATGGACTCAGATTTTGATTTATAGGTAAAGTTTCCAATTTCTGCATATTATAACACGTACTCTAAGACACAAGGACTCTAAAATACTGCTCTAAACAATAGTTTACTTTTCTCAGGCCCGAAATGGTGGGCATACAGTGCGCACCTGAACAACCAGTATGAGGTACAGTTTCAACTAAAACATAGGGTTACAGTAACACAACAAGGCATTTAAGTGGTAAATTAGCTTTGATTCAAATGAGTTAATCAATGGAGAAAACACAGAAGTTATTCTTAGGAAATAGATTATTTTAAATGTTTATAGTTTATTCTGGAGCAGGGGTCAGCAAACGGTGACCCAAGGCCCAAATGCAGCCATGGCCGGTTTTCGTATGGTCCCAGGTTTTTACATTTTTAAAGGGTTGTAAAAAATAGACAGAGAAATATGTAACAGAGACCATATACAGCCTGCAAAGCCTAAAGTATTTACTATCTGGCCCTTTACCAAAAAAAGCTTGCTGACCACCATTCTTGAGTGAAAAGCACAAGTTGTTCAAATATAAGTTACTGTATTGTTCAACAAAAACTGTTTATTCAAACCAACCAGTTGAAAAAATTTTAGAAGAAAAAGAAAACAGCGATTAACATTAGGTGGTATGATTTGGCTCCGTGATGCCAAGGAACACATGTGATCTAAATAGATGGGTTATCTTTGTATCAAGAAGAGACAATCACATTTGTTTTCCCCAACACATTTCCCAACACGTTTTTACTGCAGTCACAATATTCCTCCTCCTTTGGTCTATTCAGTAAAGGTATATTTTTAGAGAGGAAAGACCTGACATTACCTGTGGGCACAGACTGCTCCTGAGTGCTTTTCAGTTCCACATTTGGTTTTATATCTGAAAAGAAAAGGATTATAAATATTAGCTACTTAGAGTAAATTTTTTTCAGATTTGAGCATTCTCAATTAAATAAAGACATCGTTTTGGAAGACTTAGCAGCTGATTTCCTCTTCGGGGCTGGATTATTTTTTTCCCTATATCCTCCCTAAAAGGTGCCTCAAGGAGAATACAAGGAATCATCTAGTCAGCAATTATATTTTAAAGTGATTAAGATGAAAAAATTAGTACTTTATATTTACCCACAAACGTAAACTTTCTGGTACTTTTTATTTTTTCATGAAGATCTGAATTCCTACCTGGTGTTGTCTTTGTTTAGTAAAGAGCTTTCTTTAGTATTTCTAGTTGGGCAACTGTGTAAGTGACAACTTTGCTTAGTTTTCATTTTTCTGGAAATATCTTTATTTTTGCCATCAATTTTGAAGGATATTTTTACTTGACATAGAATGATGGGTTGACAGTTTTCTTCCAGCCCTTTAAAGACAGCATCCCACTATCTTCCAGCTTCTATTGTTTCTGATGAGAACATTTGTACTGATGTTTTCCCATATGTATTTTTTTTTCTCTAAATGCTGTCAAGATTTTCTCTCTACCTTTGGTTTTCAGCAATTTGACTATCATATGCCTAGGTGTGATTTTATCTGAATTTATCTCACTTGGGTCTACTGAACTTATCTATAAAATTATGTTTTTCATCAAACCTGAGAAATTTTCAGCCACTGTTTTTTGGAATACTTTTTCTCTTCCATTTTCTTGCTCCTTTTTCTTCTAGGTCTTCAACTACGTGTATGTTAGACTTTTTCGTATTTTCTCACAGTTTCCTGAGGCTCTCTCTGTTCTTTTTCCTTCCAATGTTTTCTTCTCTGTTGTTCAGATTGAATACTTTCATTGATAAATCCTCAAGTTCACTTACTCTTTCTTCTGTCATCTTAATTTGTTGTTAAGCCTGTCCAATGAGTTTTTATTTCAGATATTGTAATTTTTAGTTCTAGAATTTTCATTTTGCTTTTTTATAGTTTCTTTGTTGAAATTTCCTATTTGTTAATTATTATAAGCATATTTTCCTTTGCATCTTTGAGTATAATCATTACACCTATTTAAGATTCTTGTCTTCCAATTCCAAAATCTATGTCAACTTAGGATCAGCACCTTTGATTTCCTTTTCTCTTGAGTATGAGTCACATTTTCCTGCTTCTTCATATGACCAAATAATTTTGGGTTGTACCCTGGACATTACAAAAATATGTTACAGAATTTCTGGAGCTGTTATGTTCCTTTCAAGAGTATAGAAGTTTTTCTTTGTTTATTTTGCTTTTTAAAGTGTATAGTTAACATAAACTCAAATTCTGTGTCACTTGTGGTGGGTAGCAGCTAGGGTAACCAAATGTCCCACTATATCTGGGATTGAGGGTTTCCCCAGACTACAGAACTTTTACAGTCTCAGGGAAACTGGGACAAGTTGGTTGTTCTTGCAGAAGCATAAATCTCTGCTCAGTCACTTTAGCCTCAGATGGATTGCTCAGGATGTGACCCATATATGTGCAGTTCTAGGATTAGCTAAAGATTTAGTCCAGCCAGAGAATTTACACACATTCTAGGATTTCCCCCTTTACTTCCCAGTACTATGATTGCTATGATTTTTTAAACCAGTAAAACTGTGTTTTGGTCACTCTGAGGCTAAAACTGAGGCCTTCCCTTGGGCAAAAAAAACCATAAAAAAAGGTTGGCTTTTGTTTGTTTTCCAATCCCTGCAAGTAACAGCCTTTCTATATTTTGTCCAGAATCTGTATTTTGTTATCTGTTGGAAGTTTGGTTCAATAGGACATGTTCCTCCATTACTCGAAATTGAAACTCTCCTTTGTTCTTTACTAGTGATTATATACCCAAAACTGTTCAGGATAGAACTACTTTCAAATATTCTATACTATACTTCAGTCATATTCCAATTTTTGTTTTGAAAAATATAGTCACTATATGTACAGTCTATAGTAATTTAAAAATTTAACATGTCACCCAATAGATATTAGCAGCAAAGCATAAAGGCAGAGAAAATACACATATTTTTTAAGTAAGCAAAGAGGTAGCCTGGTATGTGGTGTCAAAACCCAAGATGGGGGAAAGGAACGTCCATGCCAGGAACAGAAACAGGCTGGGGCAGGCTGCTGGAGACCAACCAACATGAAGAGTGTGCCTGCATGGGGTGGGCATTCTGAATGAGATCAGGAGGGATTCTACATGAAGGTAGCCAATATGGGAAGTCAGAACCTGAGCAGGATAAGAAGGGCACCCAGGCAGGAGAATTACATGACTTGGAGCATTAGCGTCTGAGAGGGATGAAGAGGGTATCCAAGTAAGGGATGAGGAGTCAGAGCCTGAGCACAGTGAAGGGGACATCTATGCCTGGGGCTGGTCTGGTGTGCGGTTTTAGAGACTAAACAGGGTGAGCAAGGCACCCACACAGAGACAGTGGGGGCTGGCACCATGGAGCCCAAATGGAGTGAGGAGAACCTCTATGCATGGGAGCGCAAAGTGCCAGAACTCAAGTGGGGTGGAGGGCATCTACATATTAGGGGCATCCTTGCACTGAGATGTCAGACCCCAACAGCTGAAAAGAGTGTCCACACTGATCAGTGGCTGTGGTACAGGGTGTCAGAACCCAAGTGAGGCAAGGAGAGCATCTTCTCTGAAGAGAGGATGGCAGTGGCAATGGATGATTGGTTATATAAAGGAGGACTGATCAAATACGAAAACTGTAATAAGGATAACGAGACCCAGGTTTTTCTCTGTCAGAGAAGCGAGTTAAAAATATAGAAGCCTGTGGTACCATACCGGAAACAGAAGTATTGGCAGGAACACATAGCTTCTACCATATATAGATACAAAATATAGGCATAAACGTGTGTGTATAATTAAGGTATACACACATATACTCTCTAGCCCTGTCCACTGAGAGCACCTAGGAGGAGGGACACCACCCCAGCTTCTAGCATACACAGATAATCTCCCAAATTTCATTCTCGACTTAAATGACCTAGACCCCTTGGGGAAATGGCTGACTCCAGGGCTGGGGCAGGGAAAGTGTAGGTGAGTCTGGAACATTTTGTTGTTCCAGAAAGCAAGGAAGTGCTCGCAGAACTAAGAGAATATAGAAATCATTTTGAAGGGGTTTGCACTGGCCAAATCTGAGACAAAAGAGCATCAAAATAATGATAGTATTGAAAAATAGAAATTCATGAGTCCATATTGACATTAATAAGTAAGTGAATAAATTGAAAGTGTAGTAGCAAATGGAGTATTTATAGAGTTTCAAAGTGCTTCTTCTCAAAATACTTCTTATTTCAAGGATGAAAAGAGAAACTATATAGTGGAGAGCCTGGTAGACACTACTAAAACTGAGCAAAGTGATCATCATCAGTAACAGGACAAATGAAAAGTATGTGCTCCCGATTATGAAAAGAACACAGCATCACTTCTGTGATGTTCTTGTCAAGCAAGCAAAACATGAGGAAATAAACTCTGAGGGATAATTTATAAAATAACTGGCTTATCCTCAAGCATCAAGGTCATGACAGACTGAGGAACTATTTAAGACTGAAGGAGATTGAAGAGGTGTGACAACTAAATGCAGTGTGTGATTCTGAGCTGAATCTTCCTGAAGTCAAGGACATTATAGAAACAACTGGAGAAATCTGAATGGGGCCTGGAGATTAAATGGTAGTAATGGACCAGTGTTAATTTCCTGATTTGGATGGTTGTTTTGTGGTTATGTAGGAGAACGTAGAATATACACACTAAAGTATTCAAGGGTGAGAGGATTTCATGTCAGCAACTTACTCTCAAAATTTCCGGAAAAAAACCAGGTTTTTTGTACTGTATTGCAACTTTTCTGTAAGTTTGATAGTTTTTTTCTTTTCTTTCTTTCTTTCTTTTTTTTTTTTTTAGTTTAAAAAAAGCTAACTGTGAAACTTTTAACTGCACACTAAAGGGATTCTTAACAGGAAAAAAAGAAAGAAAACAATCTCAAAAGTTTCACATGAGCAATCTTCATGTGAAAACATCTTTTAGTTACTACACAGTAAGATGGCTTTTGGTGACCTAAAGGAAAAAGGTCCTGATCCCCTGAACCTTTTAAACCTCTGACAATGACATTTAAATAGCTCTCAGTATTTTTTTCAAGCAGCCTTTGTATGCTGTGAATAACACCAGAAGTAACTGAGTACAGTTTCCAAGAGAAAAAGGAGATTCTGACTACATAAGTATTTAGAACTTAAAGGAGACATTAACACCATCTGTAATCAGGCTACATGGATGTTTCTTCTTAGGTACTAAAAAATACTTAAAACACAAGGACAAAATAAACTGGAATGTATTTTTCCCCCTAAACTCAAGGGTCTTTATAAAAACATGAAGTCCAGGAGTAGATAGATGGTAAAGGAATTCCCATCTAAAGACCAGAAACCTGTTAAATATTTCTAAGTGCAGCAAAACTTTTCAGTTTTTAATGGACCATTTTGTAATTCCTTCATACTTTAGTCCAAAAAAGCTGAAAAAGTTTCCATTTGATGGTGTCTACTGGGGTCTTTTTAACCAGTTGGCAGCTATTATCCAAAAAGAATGCTCCAGAAAGTTAAGAAGGAAGGGTCCTTATATTGCTTTTGATAGAAATATGCTTGTTTTTAAATATTTGATGCCAACGAAGGAAGAATTCCAAAGTGGATTTTTTTGTTGTTGAAATACAAATCTCGTCAATTTTCTACAACTCTCCTGTTGTTTGAGTAGAAGTACGCTTCTGCCCCAGTTCCTTTGCTTTTGCCCTTCCCTCTGACTGGAATCCTCTTCCTCTAAATAGTCACCTGACCCACTTACTTTCTTCATTCAGGTGTGTGCTCAAAAGTCACCTTCTCAAACAAGCTTTACTTAACTACTCTAATGTGAAATGTCATCCTCCATTGTCACTTCCTTTTCTCTTACTTTGCTTTACTTTTCTTCCTAAGATTTCT